AGAGGTTGCCAGGAAAAGTAGGCTGATGAGGACTTAGTACACTAGGGGAGCCAACTTCGGGTTCCCGACAAAGGTCTTGGGCATAAGCATCACACCGAACTTGTCGCCTGAAACCCATATATACCAGACAAAGTCAGGCAAGGCTGCCAACGACTGCCTTTAGGAACTTCAAGACATATTTCAGATATCAGTCCATCACGTATGTAAGACTATCCCACGAATATGCAGCGTCGGACTGGTATCAGAACCCAGGGAAAATACAAATAAAACGCCGTTAGGAATAGACAAAATGAGGGAACATACTCACAAAGTGCGCAATCTTCAGAATATCAACAGAGACGAGCAATTAAATCATTTTAATAACAAGATCCTTGATTTCTCGGATCATTTTAATTTTCTTCTTTTGAAAGTATTTAATCTAACTAATTAGGCAGAGAGAATTTATTCCTGCGCTTCATAAATGATGCAAAAGTTTCCTGGATGTGTTTTATCGCGCAGATATGGAGCTAAATATGAATACTGTTTGTTTACAGTCCCACGGAGATGACTAGGCTATTTGTTAGCAACAATGGTGGCAGCCAGAACGATGTGCGTTGGGAGGTTGGAAGGGATCTGTTGCGTCACACTGAGGGGGGAGGTGGGAGTGAGGAGGAAGGATGGTAGGAAGGAGTGAAGAGGGAGTTGAATAGAGAGATAAGGAAGGGAATGAGATGTGATGAGAGAGCTGTAGGGAATGAGGAAATGAGGTTTAAAAAAAAGGACGGAGGGAGGTGTGGAGAAATAAAATGGGAAGAGATAAGAGAGAGAGAGAGAGAGAGAGAGAGAGAGAGAGAGAGAGAGAGAGAGAGAGAGAGAGAGAGAGAGAGAGAGAGAGAGAGAGAGAGAGAGAGAGAGAGAGAGAGATATACTCACTCAAAATTTACAGTAGGCCTGGTATCAAAATCAAAATATAAATATATAGCAGGCCTGGCACATGCATTCATTCAATATATATACTCTAAGCCTGTGTTACATATGCTCACTCAAAATATACAGTAGGCACAGCTCATGCACTCAAAATAGACTAGACCCTTGTCACATATTCAAAATATACAGTAGGCCTGTTACATACACTTAAATTATACTGCAGAGTAGGCTTCTTAAAATGTATAATTGGCATGGGTACATACACAAACCCAAATCTTCAGTAGGCCTGGAATTTTTCAAATCAAAATTGTCTCCAAAAATAAATGCAAAATGCCTGACAAACACCCCCCCCCCCAGAAAAAAAACTGCAGTAGGCCTTACATATATTAATTAAAAAAATACAGTAGACATAAAAGATACAGAAAAAAATTAAAAGATTCACTTGCTCCAAAATACAGTATGTTGAGACCCCCAGAATACAGTACACTAGGGGTGCCACTGACCCAGGATGTAGGCGGCCTAGTACACTAGGGTGCCACTCACCCAGGATGTAGGCGGGCCTGGTACACTAGGGTGCCACTCACCCAGGATGTAGGCGGCCTAGTACACTAGGGTGCCACTCACCCAGGATGTAGGCGGGCCTAGTACACTAGGGTGCCACTCACCCAGGATGTAGGCGGCCTAGTACACTAGGGTGCCACTCACCCAGGATGTAGGCGGGCCTGGTACACTAGGGGTGCCACTCACCTAGGATGTAGGCGGCCTGGTACACTAGGGGTGCCACTCACCCAGGATGTAGGCGGCCTGGTACACTAGGGGTGCCACTCACCCAGGATGTAGGCGGCCTGGTACACTAGGGTGCCACTCACCCAGGATGTAGGCGGCCTGGTACACTAGGGTGCCACTCACCCAGGATGTAGGCGGCCTGGTACACTAGGGTGCTACTCACCAGGATGTAGGCGGCCTAGTACACTAGGGTGCCACTCACCTAGGATGTAGGCGGGCCTGGTACACTAGGGTGCCACTCACCCAGGATGTAGGCGGCCTGGTACACTAGGGTGCCACTCACCCAGGATGTAGGCGGCCTGGTACACTAGGGTGCCACTCACCCAGGATGTAGGCGGCCTGGTACACTAGGGTGCCACTCACCTAGGATGTAGGCGGCCTGGTACACGACGGTGCCACTCACCTAGGATGTAGGCGGCCTGGTACACGACGGTGCCACTCACCTAGGATGTAGGCGGCCTGGTACACGACGGTGCCACTGAACGCCATGAGGAAGCGGCAGAGAAGGAAAAGCTGGTATGAGGGAGAGAAGGACCCGGCCACCGACACTATGATGAATACCAACAACGCCCCGCCCATTATGCGCTTCCGTCCGAACCTGAGACACAGAGAAAGATTGAGTGAGACCAAGAGCGAGAGATAGAGAGAAAGAGAGATAGATAGATAGATAGAGAGAGAGAGAGAGAGAGAGAGAGAGAGAGAGAGAGAGAGAGAGAGAGAGAGAGAGAGAGAGAGAGAGAGAGAGAGAGAGAGCGCGCGAGAGAGAGAGAGACACACACACACAGAGACAAAGACACAGAGACAGAGACACATATAAGAGACAGCAATAATGACAAAGAACACATTAATACACCTGTCCATATTCCACATACCTGAAAAGACAGAAACATTAAAACAAACTCCCCCCAAGAAAACAAACAACAACACAAACAACATAAAACTTCAGAAGAACTATTTTTCTTCAGTAGTTTAAAAAAAAATGTTTCTTGATACTAAAATCCCTTATTAACCACACACACATATTTTGTATATTGGTTAACTCCTCACCAGATATATCCAATGAACAAATTCACAAGGAGCAGTAGCGCTCCAGGTTGCAATTCTTTTGACCGTGTGGTGGCACAGTTGACTTAGGCGCATCTGGGAACATCCCGTGTGCGTAGGTTCGAACCCTCATCACGGTCCCTTGTGGATTTGTTCAATCAGTTGGATGTTTGCCTCTTTGTACGATAAGGCCTAGTGGCCAATACGAGATACCTGTTAACCTAACCTAACCTAGCCTAACCTAACCTAGCCTAACCTAACCTAGCCTAACCTAACCTAGCCTAACCTAACCTAACCTAACTCACATCTGTAAGGGAAGTGGAATGGAATTATCAAGGGAAAGACCATATAGTATATAGTCTTAATGGCTTCATTTTCGCTTCATTCATTCATATAACAGGAGCTATATGGTATATAGCACGTGGAAAGGGGGCAGGATAAGGATTTGGGATGGGACGGGGGGAAAGGAATGGTGCCCCAACCACTTTGGGACGGTCGGGGGATTGAACGCCGACCTGCATGAAGCGAGACCGTTGCTCTACCGTCCAGCCCAAGTGGTTGGCTGGTCAATGTGTATTGTTACGCTGATGAAAGGAAAGTGTTGAAGAGAAGATGCTGATGGGTAGGGAAAGTGGTGAAGGTTAGGGAAAATGGTGATGGGTAGGATGGGTAAAGATGGGTAGGAATGGTGGTGATGGGTAGGAATGGTGGTGAAGGAGAGGGAAGGTGGTGAAGGAGAGGGAAGGTGGTGAAGGAGAGGGAAGGTGGTGAAGGAGAGGGAAGGTGGTGAAGGAGAGGGAAGGTGGTGAAGGAGAGGGAAGGTGGTGAAGGAGAGGGAAGGTGGTGAAGGAGAGGGAAGGTGGTGAAGGAGAGGGAAGGTGGTGAAGGAGAGGGAAGGTGGTGAAGGAGAGGGAAGGTGGTGAGGGAGAGGGAAGGTGGTGAAGGAGAGGGAAGGTGGTGGTGGTGATGTTTGAAAACTGTATGAGTAGTTATGATGGTGACAGTGACGAAGGTTGTGTATGTGTGTTGTGAAGATGGTTACAATGATGAAGACATGGTGTAGGTAAGATGGATACAGTGATGATAGCTGTGCAGTGAAGGTGGCTACAGTGAAGATCATAGTGTGCAGTGATTGTGTGACTTCCGTCATCAGAATATATATATATATATATATATATATATATATATATATATATATATATATATATATATATATATAGGGGGGTTCCACCACTGGTGTAATTATAGGGACCCACAGCCTCAGAGAAGGGAACACAGAGCACTCAGGGAAAAACTTGACATTTAACTCTGAATACGAAAGAGTGTTCACTTCTCCTACCACCCCCTTTTTTTTTTATTATGATGTACACTTTATTATGCAAGGTTATACAGTTACATATCTGATTTTATACAAAAAATGAACATTAAGAGGACAATATATATATATATATATATATATATATATATATATATATATATATATATATATATATATATATATATATATATATTGCACAAACATTAGAAAAGATAACCGGCGGTGCTCGGGTCGGTTTATCAGTCTCCCTCCTCCCCCACTCCTTTTCCTCCTCTTTCTCTACCTCCCTCTATCTTCATCTACCTAAAACTTCTCTCTCTCTCTCTCTCTCTCTCTCTCTCTCTCTCTCTCTCTCTCTCTCTCTCTCTCTCTCTCTCTCTCTCTCTCTCTTTATTCCACCCTCTGTCTGTCCCAACAAACCCACCCGTAAGCCAGTAACTCCCCACCCTCTACTTCCCTCAGGGGAGCCGGCAGTTCCCCTCAGGGGAGCAGGCAGTCCCCCTCAGGGGAGCAGGCAGTTCCCCTCAGACAACAGTGGCTTCACAGGGGAGGAACCCCTTGGACCAGCCACTAGTCACCCCACCACGATTTGCACAATTTACCTATTTACATGCAAAGTATGATAGTTAGATTTTTTTTGTAAATTTTGCAGACATCAGTGTATAATGTTGTATATTTCACTAAGGAATAAAAAACAGAACAAAATATGAATTCGAGTTTAGTTATAATGGTATTCCAAGAGTGAATGTAGGGTTTTAGTATTCATTATGGTATATTTGAATAAACTAAGTGACATTCGCTTCACTTAGCATGGCCCCAACCCAGCCATGTTGGGCATGGACCCCACAGATATCAGGGTGCAAAGTGTGAATGAGGTGAGGTCCAAGCGTCTGGCATCCATCCTCGAACAGACAGGCAGAGAATATATATATATATATATATATATATATATATATATATATATATATATATATATATATATATATATATATATATATATATATATATATATATATCCCTCCTGTCATCTCCTTCTTGCCATCTCCATCCTGTCACCACTGTCACCCTGTCACATCACCACCCTCCTGTTATCCTCTTTCTGTTACCCGTATCTGTCACCTGCCTCCTGTTACCACCCTCATACTTCCCCACCCATTCCTTTCTGTCGATGCTGCGAAATATCTGTAAAAAATGTGGATTACCTGTCATTTATGTGGATTACATATGGGAATTACCTGTCGAAGATGGGAATTACCTGTCGAAGATGAGAATTACCTGTCGAAGATGAGAATTACCTGTCGAAGATGTGAATTACCATTGATGGATGCGGTTTTACCTGTCAGAGAAGTAACCGCCCAGCGGGGAGCCGAAGAAGTAGCCGAACATAAAGATGCTCTGGATGAGAGAGCGGAGGGACTCCCGCCCACACACCAGGTCCCACTGCAACACACGCAACGCACTCAAATTAAACTCTCAACTCATTTGGGTTAAACACACACACACACTCATTCACACACACACACAAACAACTGGGTTTTAAACACAACGCATTTAGTTAAAACGCATCACCACTCACTTGGGCCAAACAAACACAACACTCGGGTGAGAGTACGCGAGAGAACGTGAGAGCACGTGAGAGTACGTGAGAGCACGTGAGAGCACGTGAGAGTACGTGAGAACACGTGAGAGCACGTGAGAGTACGTGAGAGTACGTGAGAGTACGTGAGAGCACGTGAGAGTACGTGAGAGTACGTGAGAGCACGTGAGAGTACGTGAGAACACGTGAGAGTACGTGAGAGAACGTGAGAGCACGTGAGAGTACGTGAGAGCACGTGAGAGCACGGGAGAGCACCACTCTTTGACTGTACATTGTGAATTGGTCGAATGGTTAAGGAACCAGGTACGCCATGGTGTATAGTGCTCCTGGCTGTCTGGGTTCGAATCCTTCTGGGGTTTGGAGTTTTCACTTATATATATATATATATATATATATATATATATATATATATATATATATATATATATATATATATATATATATATATATATATATATATATATATAATATATATGATAGAAGATATTTGAAATTCCTTGAACACTCGGGCCAAATGTCGAGTGTTCAAGGATATTCATTCTTCAAGTGTGAAGAATATTCTTAGAAAGGCGTATTTACCTCACCTTTCTGATGTATACAAATCCTGGATGATCCCAGCACATCCTCGCCAAACACACATGTATCCCAAGACACAGGGTAACGACCGTGTCTCGCCTTTCCGTGGATCAATATGATTTAGAAATCCCGTCAACCTTTCCTCCGAGGCGAAAACCCAAGAGTTTTTGGACATTGTGTCGAAGGTGGACCAAGTGAACGTTGTGGAGAGGCAGATATAACCCAAGTTTACAACCCCAAGGTTATTAAAGTTATAAACAACCTCGTTTATATCTCCTCGAAGTTCATACATTGTTTAGTAAGCCAGCCACGAGTAAGGAGGATGTACAGGTTTCGTACCTCGGAGATTAGCGTGGAGCGGAAGGTTTGTGTGTCGTACTGCCAACTGGAGCAGGGCTGCGTTAGGAGCACCTCCTCCTTCTCCTCCTCGGGCAGGTGCTGGTGACGGTCCTCCCAGGCCACTCCCACCAATCGACTGTAGTTTCGAACGAACATTTCGCACTGAGAGTGGTGTGGTACGCCTCCCACGGTGATCCTGGGAAAGAGAGAGAGAGAGAGAGAGAGAGAGAGAGAGAGAGAGAGAGAGAGAGAGAGAGAGAGAGAGAGAGAGAGAGAGAGAGAGAGAGAGAGAGAGAGAGAGAGAGGAGGATAGAGACCTTGTATTAGTAATACGTCCATCAGCATCAGAAGAATACTCACTACACCACCCACACAACACCCACCTCACCCTACACTCTCCACACAACACAGGATACAAATTCACATTATTTCGAATAAAACCCAAAATAGGAGTTTGCCATCAAGATGACGAAACTCCCCCAGTGTATCGGGCTTTGCATCACAAGATCACAAGCCTACACTTGCGTACACAACACTACGCTGCACTACACCCATCCCGGAAGATCAACCAGCGCTGGGAAGTGTCTCTTAGGCAACTAGGATACGGTCGACAGAGGAGGCTCGAACCGTCGAACCTCACTTGTATGTGAGGTCTAGGCTCTATAGACTGGGCTATGAGTAGTCTTTATAAGGAAAGTTTCCAAAAAGCAACTTCCTGCTACCAAACTGGAAATTTCGACTTTCCAGGTGAATGGAATGTTTATTTCCACGGAAGTGTGGATGACAATTTTATAACATTTATACCACCAGGGACAAGGGTACCACCACCAGGGACAAGGGTAGCACCACAGGGACAAGGGTACTACCACCAGGGCCAAAGGTACCACCACCAGGGACAAGGCTACCACCACCAGGGCCAAGGGTACCAGGGACAAAGTGTCTTACCTGGGCAAGGCGAAGCTCCAGACCTGGGTGTTGGTCCAGTTGGCCAGCTCCGGCACCCAGCACCAGTGGTCCGTGGCGGGACTCAGGAACGCCGTCCCCACCGCCTGCATGGCCCCGAACACGCCCCCTGTAGACGGCCAGTGGAGGCTCAGCACATGTGGGGGCTTTTATATATAAATACATCATCACCTGACAACTGCAGTATACACAGATATTAACACACACACTAGTTGGAGGACAAAACACTTGATTCAATTTCCGTGAAGTAATTAATCATAGTGAAACAGTTTCATTAATATTATATATATATATATATATATATATATATATATATATATATATATATATATATATATATATATATATATGCGAACAAGCCTGAATGGTCCCCAGGACAATATGCAACTGAAAACTCACACCCCAGAAGTGACTCGAACCCATACTCCCAGAAGCAACGCAACTGGTATGTACAAGACGCCTTAATCCACTTGACCATCACGACCGGACATAATGAGGTGATAGCCTAAGCTATTTGAACCACCCCACCGCCGGCACTCGGATAGTAATCTTGGGCATAGCATTTTACCAAATCACCTCATTCTTTGGGGCACACGTGAGGAACACCGCATTTGTGTTCCTCACGTGTGCCCCAAAGAATGAGGTGATTTGGTAAAATGCTATGCCCAAGATTACTATCCGAGTGCCGGCGGTGGGGTGGTTCAAATAGCTTAGGCTATCACCTCATTATGTCCGGTCGTGATGGTCAAGTGGATTAAGGCGTCTTGTACATACCAGTTGCGTTGCTTCTGGGAGTATGGGTTCGAGTCACTTCTGGGGTGTGAGTTTTCAGTTATATATATATATATATATATATATATATATATATATATATATATATATATATATATATATATATATATATATATATATATATATATATATATATGTGTGTATCACGAAAATAAACACGTGATTAAGAATGTGACAATGTCAGACCACGGAGGAAAATGAAACAGGAATTTCCTTAAGTACTTTCGTATATTAAATACATCTTCAGAAGGAATTAATACATCTTCCTTCTGAAGATGTATTTAATATACGAAAGTACTTAAGGAAATTCCTGTTTCATTTTCCTCCGTGGTCTGATATATATATATATATATATATATATATATATATATATATATATATATATATATATATATATATATATATATATATATATATATATATATATAATTGAAAAATTAACTCTCCAAAGTTCTTCAATTCCAGTCCTTGAAGAAGCCAACCCATCCTCGACTCAAGTTCATTACATCCAGCGGTCAACCCCACAGATGCATTCATAAATTTTAACATGCTGTTCATTCAAAACGGGAATTTTCTCAAGTATAAATTAATATTATAATATATTAGCATATTGTGTATAAATAGGGATAGGTTAGGTTAGGTCAGGTGTTTAGGTTCTGTTGGCGATTATTTGTTTTTGTAGTACGTGGGTGAAGCATTTACAGCGTTGTGGTTCGAACAAAATTCGTCAGTGAAGCACTTGTTCCGGATATGTTCGAACGTCAGCAGTTGTGAGTCGTGTGTAAACCGCTTTTCATTCATAAACAGGGGGTTTGGCGGGTGGATGGAATCACTTTTGGATCTTTGTTTGGAGGACGGGCTGAAGAAGCATAATGTAATCGACTCGAACACCCAGCTAAGAAATCTCTCAACAAAAATCAACAAGTTGGGTTCAGACAATTGAGTCACCTCGCATTCGAGGTCTCGTGGTGAATATTCTCGTCCATACATAGAATCATGAATATATTGTTATTCTCACATAGACTGCGTTCCCTTGAGGGTATCTTGAAATGATTATACCACCATGAGGTATAATTGAAAATACCTTGCGATAGTGTTATAACAGCTTGCATGGAGTGCAAATTGTGAATAAATACAATGGTGAAACTTAAATAAAATTATGCGGTAGCCAGCGTTAGGCGCTGCCCTTTCCTGCTTATTATATCTTACGGATTATCGTTCCAGGAAATGCTGCCACAATGAATTCCTGGAGCGCTTATAATCCACGCTCACCAGCCATGACACTGCTCGGTAACAAGTTATCATGCATCATAACATTGTCATCCACACTTCCATGGAAATAACTATTCCCATTCACCTGGGCTGTAGGAGCCTCGAACCGTGGATCCCATGCGAGAGGCCGAAGTTCTATCACACGCCAACCGTCCTCGAATCAAGTCCATTACACCCAGCGGTCGACCCCACAGACGCATTCATAAATTTTAACATGCTGTTCAATTCAAAAAAGGAATTTTCTCAAATATAAATTAATATTATAACACATTAGCATATTGTGCATATATAGGTATAGGTTTGGTTAGGTGTTTAGGTTCGGTTGGCGATTATTTGTGTTTGTAGTACGTGGGTGAAGCATTTACAGCGTTGTGGTTCCAACAAAATTCGTCAGTGAAGCACTTGTTCCGGAAGTGTTCGAGCGAAAGCAGTTGTGAGTCGTGTGTAAACCGTTTTCCATTCATAAACAGGGGGTTTGGCGGGTGCATGGAATGGACTTTTGAGGTTTTTGTTTGGAGGACGGGCAGCACACGAGCAGCCCGTCCTCGCATACAAAGATTCAAGCTCGTTAATCCAGCCGCCAACCCCCCTGTTTATGAATGAAAAGCGGTTTACACGTGACTCACAACTGATGACGTCTGAATACTTCCGGAACAAGTGATTCACTCACGTTCTCTGTTCTAACCACAACGCTGTAAATGCTTCACCCACGTACTTCAAATACAAATAATCACCAACAGAACCCAAAAACGTAACCTAACCTAACCTAGACCTAACTATACATAGAATTTTTATGTATAATAATATTAATTTAAATCTGAGAACAAACTAATTTTTAATACACAGTATGTTAAAATTGATGAATGCGTCTGGGGAGGACGGCCGCTACTTTAACCAGCTTAGTGTGATGACGGGTTGCACACGCATGGGGTCCAGGGTTCGAGACCCATACAGCCCGGGGGAATGGAATGTTTATTTCCAAGTTAATGTGGATGACAATTTATATGACGAGGCCGTGGGTCACTAACGCCTCTGGGCTTCAGTAGTAGTCAAGGAAAGTCGAAAATTCCAGTTTGCCAGCAGGCTGCTGCTTTTGGAACCTTTCCTTATTAAAGACTACTCATAGCCCATTCGATAGAGCTACCGCCTGACACACGCGCGGGGTCCAGGGTTCGAGTCTCCTACAGCCCGGGTGAATGGAATATCGTGCACTCTTTTAACAAGCTTACAGACGTCATACCCTGTGAGACAGAACATCAGTATTAATAAGGGTCGTGTAGCGCAGTCGCGACTTACAATTGGGGATCCCGGGTTCGATTCTCGAGCGGGGCAGAAATGGTTTGGCTCGTTTTCTTTTATCTAATACCTTTATTCACCTAGCAGGAAATATATATCCAGGAGTTAGGCAATTGCTGTAGGGTCCAGTCTCCTAACTACTTTAACTTTGAGTACAGTTAAAGTGGATAATTTGTGCACAGTTATTTCATAAAATCCTCGAACAAGCTAGGATCGCGCTGAGTGGACAGCGCTCGGGATTTGTAATCCTAGGGTCCGGGAATTGATCCCAGCGATGGCGGAAACAAATGGGAAGAGTTTCTTTCACCCCTAATGCCACTGTTCACCTAGCAGTAAATAGGTACCTGGGAGTTTGACAGCTGCTAAGGGCAGCTTCCTGGGAATGTGTGTGGAAAAAAAAAGAGAACTAACTTAAGGAGTGACTTAAATAGTTACTTAAGGAGTTACCTCTGAGAAGTAGAGAAGGAAGTTAGTACACACATAAGGAAGTTATCATACAGTGAAGAGAAGGACGACATTATTCACATTGAACATAAGGATTTATTTAATGTATTCATAAGAATACATTAGGACTCACAGTGAACATAGTGTTATACTCACATAATGAACATAGTGTTATACTCACATAATGAACATAGTGTTATACTCACATAATGAACATAGTGTTATACTCACATAATGAACATAGTGTTATACTCACATAATGAACATAGTGTTATACTCACATAATGAACATAGTGTTATACTCACATAATGAACACAGGAGGAATATCAGCCAGTTCCAGGGGCCAATTTCCAGCTTGGTTAAAACCCGGGATTTTGTTTATTTTTTTATTTTTACGTGCATTACATGCAAATTAAATACAATAAAAAAACAAGACAAGAACATAGAAAACAAAAGCAAACAAGAAACACGGGCCAGAAGGGCCGACAGCACAGTACAACAAATAACAAACACGGTAAAAGCACAAGAAACACACCATACACCAAGACACAAAAACAATGTCAAACAAGCAAGCACAGTAACAGTACGAAGCAAAACATCTCAAAACAAATCAAACATCAAGAGTAACAACATAAAACATAACAAGAAAATCACAATATTCAACAAACAAAATAAAAAGAACAAACAAGTACAACATGTAAATGCAAGCAGAAAACACGAGTGCAAATGTACATCACAGAAACAAGACATGAATAAAAACACTCACACCACCACACACCAACCAGCCTCGCAACAAACAAAGGGAGAGGCCCAAAATATACAATAATAACAAACAAACACTCCATGCAATCAAGAAACGAAACATAGTAACATATACAACAAACAAACAAGCACCGGCCTGAAGGACCGAGAACAAAAACACAGAATAAAGGACATCATGAAAATAGAACAAGAAAAATGCACAGCACACAACAAGCCAAAAATACAAAAAAAAAACAACAATAACAAAAACAATAATAAAAACAAAAATAAAAATAAAACAAAAACAAAAAACAACACAATCTAGCAATGCATAAGTGGAACACACATGGCAAAGCAAGAACACAAAAGCAAATACAAGAATAAAAACACCCTCACCAAAACACCTGCCTCACAACAAATAAGGGAGAGGCACGGGGCACACAACACAATAGGGCAAACAAAAGGCCATAGGGGCACACAACACTACAGTAACATGGAATCAGCTGACATATTTGCCCGGGAACAAGACCCGGGGGAACCGCACATTGAACGCCTCCCAAAGCAGCCACTTCCCCCAAGTGGTCTGACCCTCCACCGGGGACACAATGTTATCCAGAACCCCGGCAACACACACCTGCAACCAGGGAACCCAGACGGTGTTACTCCGGAGGCGAGTAACCGCCACCCTACGCCATACACCGGGAACCCGAACATCTTAAAAGTCCTCCGGTACTTCAGACCGCAGGAACTCGGCAACCACGGCCTCCAGAGCTTCAAGTCGCAACCACGGCCTCCAGTGCTTCAAGTCGCAACCCCACAGGAGGGAGATGGTCAGAGGGCACCATCACAGGGGCACCAGCGGCCACGGGCACACCACCAGACGACTGCAGGGAACCAGGGCGGCGCGCATCCTTTCGTAAAGTCACGACCAGGCCACGCCCAGCACCAGCATCTGCACTATCCCTGGCAGCGGAAGCCACCACACCCCACTGCGGAGAGCCCCCGGGCAGGGAAGGAACAGGAGGCACACCCGAGACACGGGCATCAGCACCAGCAGGCACATGAACCTCCGCCACCACCAACCACGGAGACAACGATGCATCCGGATCCACGCCATCAACACTCGAAAACCCACAGTCACTGAAGTCCCCAACATCAGCCCAGGCAGTAGACGAACGCCTGGAACGTTTGGGCTCCAGCCGGATATCGTCAGAGCCGGAAGCTGACCCAGAAACACGGGCACCACTAGCCGGATGAACCGACGCCCGACGCATAACGGCAGCAGCCTCTACCACAGGGGGGAAACTGGACCACACACAGCAAGAGGCTCCGCAGCCACCCCAGCACTCAGCACAGTCGGGACCCGAGGTGAGGATGCAGGGCCAGGTTCAGCAGCCGAAGACGAGGAAGCCGACGACGACGCCTCACAGGGAGTACCAGGAAGGTCCACGGGAGCGGCAGAGCCAGAGACAGGATCAGGAGTAACACCCGACGGCACCGCAGCATCCGGAGGAGGGTCTGTGACAACCGGGGGAACGTCGGGCGACGCTGGGGAAGCCTCAGCAGCGAACGGGACACTCACTTCCTCACCCCCGGAGTCCTCCTCCAGAGGGAGCAGCGGGAAATCCTCTTCACGGAACAAATTTAGTCAGCTGTCACGGGCTGCTTCCTGGGGGTGGAGGCCTGGTCGAGGACTGGGCCGCAGGGACACTAAAAGCCCCGAAATTATCTCAAGATAACCTCAAGATAACCTACTCTGGTTGGTGTGTACTCTGGGTAGTGTGTACTCTGGTTGGTGTGGACTCTGGCTGATGTGTTCTCTGGGTAGTCTGTACTCTGGTTGGTGTGTACTCTGGTTGGTGTGTACTCTGGTTGGTGCGTACTCTGGGTAGTGTGTACTCTGGTTGGTGTGTACTCTGGTTGGTGCGTACTCTGGGTAGTGTGTACTCTGGTTGGTGTGTACTCTGGTTGGTGCGTACTCTGGGTAGTGTGTACTCTGGTTGGTGTGTACTCTGGTTGGTGCGTACTCTGGGTAGTGTGTACTCTGGTTGGTGTGTACTCTGGTTGGTGCGTACTCTGAGTAGTGTGTACTCTGGTTGGCGTGTACTCTGGTTGGTGTGTACTCTGGTTGGTGTGTGTACTCTGGGTAGCATGTTCTCTGGTTGGTGTATACTCGGGGTAGCATGTACTCTGGGTAGCATGTTCTCTGGTTGGTGTGTACTCTAGGTAGCATGTACTCTGGTTGGTGTGTACTCTGGGTAGCATGTTCTCTGGTTGGTGTGTACTCTGGGTAGCATGTACTCTGGTTGGTGTGTACTCTGGTTAGTGTGTACTTTGGGTAGTATGTACTCTGGGTAGCATGCACTCTGGTTGGTGTGTACTCTGGGTAGCATGTACTCTGGTTAGTGTGTACTCTGGGTAGAATGTACTCTGGGTAGCATGTACTCTGGTTGGTGTGTGTACTCTGGTTGGTTTGTACTCTGGGTAGCATGTACTCTGGTTGTTGTGTACTCTGGGTAGCGTGTACTCTGGTTAGCGTGTACTCTGGTTAGTGCGTACTCTGGGTAGCATGTACTCTGGTTAGTGTGTACTCTGGTTGGTTTGTTCTCTGGGTAGTGTGTACTCTGGTTGGTGTGCACTCTGGTTGGTTTGTACTCTGGGTAGCATGTACTCTGGTTGGTGTGTACTCTGGTTGGTTTGTACTCTGGGTAGCATGTACTCTGGTTGTTGTGTACTCTGGGTAGCGTGTACTCTGGTTAGCGTGTACTCTGGTTAGTGCGTACTCTGGGTAGCATGTACTCTGGTTAGTGTGTACTCTGGTTGGTTTGTTCTCTGGGTAGTGTGTACTCTGGTTGGTGTGCACTCTGGTTGGTTTGTACTCTGGGTAGCATGTACTCTGGTTGGTGTGTACTCTGGTTGGTTTGTACTCTGGGTAGTGTGTACTCTGGTTGGTGTGTACTCTTGGTAGCATGTTCTCTGGTTGGTGTATACTCGGGGTAGCATGTACTCTGGGTAGCGTGTACTCTGGTTAGCGTGTACTCTGGTTGTTGTGTACTCTGGTTTGTGTGTACTCTTGTTAGCGTGTACTCTAGTTGTTGTGTACTCTGGTTTGTGTGTACTCTGGTTAGCGTGTACTCTGGTTGTTGTGTACTCTGGTTTGTGTGTACTCTGGTTAGCATATAAAATGTAACCGACTGTTATCTGGCTGATTGTTAACTGGTTGAGTTTGACATGTGGTGTTTCACCAATGTCTAATCTTCCGTTATCTTTGTACCTGTCGATTACTTCAAGGCAACGGTCAATGCACGACCAGCAAGGCTCCACGCTCCTCCACACGACCAGCAAGGCTCCAGGCTCCCCCACACGACCAGCAAGGCTCCACGCTCCCCCACTCGACCAGCAAGGCTCCACGCTCCCCCACTCGACCAGCAAGGCTCCACGCTCCCCCACTCGACCAGCAAGGCTCCACGCTCCCCCCACACGACCAGCAAGGCTCCACGCTCCCCCCACACGACCAGCAAGGCTCCACGCTCCCCCCACACGACCAGCAAGGCTCCACGCTCCCCCACACAACCAGAAAGGCTCCACGCTCCCCCACACGACCAGCAAGGCTCCACGCTCCCCCCACACGACCAGCAAGGCTCCACGCTCCCCCCACACGACCAGCAAGGCTCCACGCTCCCCCACACGACCAGCAAGGCTCCACGCTCCTCCACACGACCAGAATATCACTAACGATATCCAGACGACACTGAAATAATCGACAGATACAACGAGAACAGAATATTTGACATAGGCGAAGCAGTACATGTCAAACACACTTAGCCAGCTTTCAACAGACAGCAGTTACATTCGACTTTCTTCAAGACAGAATATCCAGCATATGCCTAGCCGTCATGAGAACTTAGGAATTGAGGAACTTGCTGAAAGCGCATTCGGCTGTTCGGTTGTTCCAGTTAATTAAACTGTACCAACATATATTGAAATCTGTGGCTACAGTTTAACTAGTGAGAACAACATAATTTTAAAAATCTTTAACCCTGTAGCCAGCGGGCAGTGCAAAAAATCGTCGTGGGGTCCTGAATGTGATCCCGGCACGCTGTTCCATTTTGAATTCTGGCCATTTTGACCATCCTATGTTCATCCCGTACCCCAAACCATTCCCTCTGCCAATTTGGGTGAGGCTACCCCCCCCACCATGCAACTGCCCCTCTAACTTTGGACAAACATTATCTCATATATACCAACATCTAATACATCACCTTTTAACAAAACTGGCAAGTTGGCACATACGCACAAAAAAATATAGTTTTGATTAAAAGCCATTTGTCAAACACACACGTGTCCCTGTATTTCACAATACTGACGCGGTCGCTTCCTTTCACCCCTCGCACCTGCAAAAACATAAACAAAGCGACTCATTGTTTACCCAATCTGGTCAAAATTGTTTACCCAATCTGGTCAAAATAACTTGTTCCAGAGTGACCAATACAGGAATCCTAGTATACATTTTTGGGTGGGTGGAGGGGGGGAACTGAACAATATTTTATTTAGTTAAAACCTACAGTACTTGCTGAGTATTTGCACATTAATGCATTTACTGTTCATGGATCTATTAT